GTCATAGTAGGCTGCAGTCATATGTGACATGGGATTGTTTGCAAATGTCAAATAAGTTAGTATGTAATAATTTATTTCAACTAGACCTTTTATTATCGCGACAAAAGTATAGCAACTCTTTGATTTGGTTTACAGGAAAAGGGTTTATGATACAGGTAAAGTTCTAAAATGACGTTTTTCAATTCAATTAAGCTTAACAGCTCTAATATTTACAGAATTAAATATGCCAAAAGGAAAACGAATCTGTACGGAGGTACAAGAAATGGTCGTAAACGCCTTTTTAGAAGGGAAGAGTAAGATTGCGATTTCCAAACAGTTCGACTTGCCCAAATATAGTGTCTCAAAAATAATTTCACGTTATAATGAAAGAGAACATGTAGAAAAAATGCCGAAATCAGGAAGGCCCAGGAAAACTACATTTTGGATGGATAGGAGAATCAAAAGAATTTCTCAAAGAGATCCGTGGTTGTCAGGACCAAGGATAATTGCTGAAATTCCCGAACTGGAAGTCAGTGCAAGGACTGTTCAACGACGATTAGTTGAGGCGAAACTTTATAGCAGACGTCCTGCCAAGAAACCGTTGGTTTCTGAAAGAAATCGCCGTGCCAGACTTGAATTTGCGCAACAACATTTGAACTGGACAGTGCAAGATTGGGGAAAAGTATTGTTTAGCGACGAAAGTCGTTATAAAATTTTTAATTCTGATGGAATGAAGCGTGTCAGGCGTCCGGTTAATATGAGATTTCACCCAAAGTATGTTACGCCAACAATAAAGCACGGACAAGGTAGTGTATTTGTATGGGGTTGTTTTTCGTGGAGCAGAGTAGGCCCACTACATTTTATAGACGGAATTATGGATCGCTTCGTCTACAGAGACATACTCCAAAACGTTATGTTTCCCTATGCTCAGCGGGAGATGCCTTTGCAATTTATATTCCAACAGGACAACGATCCGAAACATTCGTCTCGCCTTGTTCAGGAATGGTTTCAGGAGAACAATGTACAGGTTCTTAGGTGGCCGGCCCAATCACCAGACCTCAACCCCATTGAGAACCTTTGGGAAGAGGTTGAACGTCGTATTCGGACTACAAGATTCCCAAATAAACAGTCCTTAATTGATAAAATTAATGAAGTTTGGATTAATATGCCGGATATTACTATCCAAAACTTAATTTCATCAATGCCGCGCCGTTACCAAAAAGTTATATCTCATAATGGATATCCTATTAATTATTAAGAATTTGTTCTTATTTTGTTTTAACCCTTCAACCATATTTGTGATTTTTCAGTTGTTAAATGAAATACAAAATTTTTTCAAAAAAGTTGTTATACTTTTGTCGCGATAATAAAGGGTATTGTTGAAATAAATTATTACATACTAACTTATTTGACATTTGCAAACAATCCCATTTCACCTATCATAGCAGCCTATTATGACCACTTAAACTACATAAATTTTGATTCTCACGGTTGATCGTGTTATTTTAAATAATTAAATATTTGATTTTATCATAAAAGTTGCTTCACTTTTGTCCAATAGTGTAGGTGACAGTTTTATTTAAAACATGATTCATTTTTATCTAAATGTTTAATGAAAATTGGATTAAAAATTATTATTGTAAAATATACAATTTCCAAAAATTGAACAATTTGATTATTAGAATTTTCATTAAAAATAATTTTTGTGAACTAGAAAAATTAAACAATGTTTACAAGTTTACTGTTTTTTTAAACTAATTTTTTTATCATTTCACTTTTTTTTTATTTATTTTGTGACAGTCAATTTATTTTTAAGTCTCTTACCACCGTAAATTTTTCGCAGCTTCAATACAACGATCATCGACGATAACACCACCACCAATATAACGATCAAGATCACATAGAAAGCGTTCCTTTTCTCTCGAACACTTTTCTTACGCTGTTTTTCGTCCATCGCCGAAAATGCACTACTCGAACCCACGAACTTCAAACGTAAAAAAAATGTATTTGCACACTTCAAACTATCCGCGTTGTGAAGTTTTCACCACGTCACGAAACCATGAAATAGACGCTGGAAGCAGAGGCGGGCGAAAATTACAAAAAACACTTTGTTAATTTTCTAAAATTGAAAAAGAATTTGTCATTGTATAAATTAATTCACTCACAAAAAATTGCTTGCTTTTATAAGAAGAATTTTATTCAAAAATATTACTTGTTGAAGCTAGTTTTAGTTCAGTCGACCATAATCAGACCACTGAAAATTAGTTTGCATTATAATATCAACAAGGCATATTATAATAATTGAAAAAAGTTATGCATTCACAATTATTTATTTTAATATCCTTTTTAACTGTGCATTTTCTAACTTATTTGGTCGACTCCTTTCTGTATCTGTAAGATGTGAAGTGTGGATTGTTTCACAGCATTTAGACCTCATTAGGCCTATTCTGGATCAACAAATGGCCTCTCAACTGTGTATCTGCTGCACTTTACTTCGTTTTACACTAATGCTCTTTGTGGAGTCGTAGTTCATGACTTTTAGCAAAATTCTCAATGGTCTGGTTAACGGTCTTCATCTCCAAGTCTGTTTCTGAAGTAGCAAGAGGCACTAACTGTGTTCCTCAGTACTTTATTCTGGAAGCGCTGGTTTTATTAGAGAGTTTTGCATTTTGTCTACCTGTATCTTCATGATCTTATCCTTCTGCTAAAATGACAGTGTCATCTGCAAAAGTGGCTATTGTATTATTTTTTGTTATGTAATATCACTGATGTATAGTAGATACAAACAGGTCTCAATTCACTTTCTTGTGGTACTCCTGCTTTTATATCTTTTATCTCCGAGTAAACTGCTTTCTGCTTTATTCTAAATGTGTTATCTGTAATGTATGATTCCAAATTATGTGGGTATTTTCTGGGATGATTAAGTCCCTCTTGCCATATTTTGTCAAAAGCTTGTGCTACGTCTAAGAAGATAGTAGAGGAAATGTTTCTCTCTAAAGCCAAGCTAATAAGTCGAAATTATATTTTTTCTTCTTCGATGGGATTTAATCTCTATAGGAATATTTTTCAGTAAGTAAAGAGATTGGTACATAAGATGAAACTTCATTTAAAGGTTTGCTAGGTTTAAGTATTATTATTACCCCAGCCAATTTCCATGTCTTAGGTGCATACTTCAATCTGAAGAAGTCATTAACAGGATAGGTCAGTTTCACTAGTTGTTTCAGTATCTCTCCAGTAATTACATCAAATCCTAGTGCTTTTTTAGGATTGATATGGAACGTTTGAGTTTATTTTTATCTTTGTGACTAACGTGTGTTTCCCTCTCTGCTTGCATTCATCTAAGCTTACTAGCAAGATTTTAAATTGATTGTTAAGGAATTGCAGCTTATTCCTCTTTTGCGACAATTTTTATCCATATGCAACGTTTTGACGTATCCCACTAATTTTTAATGGGATTTAGATTGAATTAGAACTTTCTGAAGATAGTCATTTACAACTCGATCTATCTATACAATGTGATGACCAACGCGCTTGAAAGAAATGTTCAATGGATAGGTCAGCTGTCATACGCTTAGTGATTTCTGAATGTTCAGTAAGTGCCTCCCAACTAATACTGCCCCAAAATATTATTCTGCCTCCACCAAAAGAGCATCCATTTTGTATAAAATAATGACGTCTTGTTCATGTAGTTGTATCGTAAGACAGATACGCCGCCAATGGTTTGCATCAGCACATCTTAAAATAAAAGCGGCATCAATTAACTTCACGAAGGTTAATGAAGGTATTGAGTTGAGTAAACAACTAACAGTCTTCTTTTGATGGAAAAGCTATTGGGTAAAATCAATTTCTGTTTGTAATTCTATTTGATAAATCGTCCAAATACGAAACTGTGTTAATACATTTTACCAATAACATAAAGAATTTAATTTCGTAATTCAATTATTACTCAAATATTTTTTTTAATTGATATAACTTTTTGATTTATGTTTTTTTCATATTGTAATATTTAACATTATTATTAGTAGAAATCTAAAGAATATACAAAAATAATAAAGGTTATAAAGGTTTAAAAATAAATTGAATTAAAGATAATGTACCAAAAATAAATCAAACAACTAAAAACCAATATATCATGGAGATTTTGATTTAAATAGATAGTCGATAGGCGACAAAAAGAGAGTGAAGCTATGGCTATGCCCGAAACTCTGGCCGTAAGGTCCTTCTAGCAGTGACAGAGCCCTCGCGACCGTATGTATGTCCCATTATTCTCTCCTACCTTTCCAAACCAGTTATGAAAATACTCCGGGTGTTTGTAAAGCTCCAGTGTCCCTACACCTAAGGGCTATGAGAGTCTTTAATCAGTAGTCTAAAACCACTCAACCATGCTATTAAGGGATTATTTCGGTTTTTCTTTTTTCTTTCTACCAGGAGTGAATTGATGTTCATTTCATGATTCCATGACCCTGAAGCTGGTGACAGTGCTGCCCCATCCCTTAATAGTAGATATATTGGTGAAGGGGCATATTCTGTAACGTTCTAGTTAAATTTAACCGCCAGGTTAAAAGGTTATTTAAAACTATGCCATTTAAATTTCAACCCAAATCTCTACTCGGTATTCCATCAGTTTAATTTTTTGTTATTAGTTATTTTATAACCAGCCCCTGTTAAAAAAGACATGATAAAGATTTAAATATACCTAAAACTGCATTCAAATTATGCCCAACGCAGCATTAAAAATAAAAAAAGAATATAATTGACATGTAATTTTAACCAAATAATACAGAATGCAAAATGAAAAATAACATTCGCTTATTTTTCTGACCTAGGGTTAATTTTTTACAGAATAGACCCCATGGTGATCTAAATTAGTTAGACTAGTTAGAAATCTACCGGTTGTTGCACTGGTGATATGCGCCGCTTCTACCTGTTGTTACAATATCATTTAGTTTATATTATTCGCGCCACAAGAAGTACTAAATTATTTTTTTAACCAACCAAAATGGTTTAAAAATAATACTCACCTATGAATTTTGTTCGATCTGTCCTGAAGACTGCAATCATAATTATAAAGAGAACAACAACGATCACAAAAAATATTTCGTATAAAGTAAATATATGTATGGTAAAGTGTTCCTTTTCTTTAAAATATTGTTTTTCGCGACTTAGTTTCGGTTTACTTTCGTCCACTTGTGACTCCATCTTAGATTCTACTAAAGAAAATTCCATCAATCAAAATTTACGCAGTCACAGTTAATTTTTTAACCTAACATTTAATTGTTTTATTAACGCAAAAGATGAATTATTTATCATAACAAACCAATCACATGCATCACTGTTTTCTTTAAATTTAGCACAATTATACTTTTGTATTCATTATAAGAATGTGCTACTAAGAAATTAAAATAAGATTCGTTGTGAACTAAGTCTTTTTGTTTCTCTTATTTAACATCGGTCTATATTAATAACTAAACGGAAAGAACGCCACACCCTTTTTAAAAATGTTATCGAACCCTTTATTGTCCCAATGGTGCATAGGAATATGAATAGTTTGCAAAAATAAATTTTGAGTATAATTTTTTATTAAAACTTTGGTGCTTCTTGGGTTTGAGAATGGAGAACTTCAATCGGATGGAAGTTCCTTGTGGTTGTTTAAAGCGTTTGATGCTTCTTGGGTTTGAGTATCAAGAACTTCAATGGAACGGAAGTACTTGGTTGTATGGTAGTCGAATTCGCTTGACTCGTTTCGATTTGGTTTTGGAGATAATTTGGTATACTACCACATGTTGTTAGTCAATCTCTTTATTTCTTATTTGCATCTACATTTATATTATCACAGAATAAACAATATACAATAACAATTAATATTATTTAATTATTTAAATGTACAGGTTTTTTCATTCTATTTTGACCGCTACTTATATTCATTATTATTGCGAACACAAAAAAAAGTTTTAAGTAAAATCTTTGTTGTTTTACTTGTACCAACTAAAAATGTAATAACTGGTAGAATTGTATAGACAGCGCGCCTCCAACAAAATATAATTTCATTCTTTTAATGGGGCATCCTATATATTTTTTTCATTTTAAGTAGACTTGCATTTCCTGATTACAAATATATAATATTTTAATTAGTTAGTGACTTATTGCACTATGAAAGCGTAATACATAGATGGCTATGAAAATGATGTTTCCAAGTAAAACAGTTGTTTGTTAATTAAAAATTGTCAGTTGATTGCTTGTAATGGATTATACTGTGGCCGAAAAACTTTTTTGTGTTCACAAGAATAATGAAAATAAGTAGTGGTCAAAATATAATGAGAAACCCTGTACATTAGAAAAATTTTATTATTCAAATTTCGATCCCAGTTCAGTGTTTTGAAATGATTTTAAAATAACAATTCAGCATTTTTGTTATTACGATATACATTTAACTTGAAATGAAATTGGAATAGTTTATAGTACCTGCATTTTAATTAAATAGAATTTATTTCATCATATACAGGATATAAATTTAGTATGTGAATATAAAGAAAAATGTACAAAGCTGCACAGAATATTTAATAAGCCCAACATATTAGGATATGGATTCGGGACTAGTGAAAGACGGCATATCTACTCCACTCTAGAGCTCGTATTAAATGATATAGCGGCTGTCAGCTAGGATATGCTCTAATGGTGAACGAAAAAATTATCGAAAATGCAATTAGTCGAAAGTAAAAAAGATCGAAAAGCACCAAAGAAAAGACCAGTTATTGGTTATTTTGTACACTCACTTAAAACTTTTTGTGCTCAATTCGAAAATTTCAACGATATTTTAAAATTAAATTAAATTAAATTGAAACAGGGTCGGATTGGAGTATTTTCAGCTGTTACTTTTTTTGGTAACTATTTTTCGAATTACACCTCAGAAATTGAAAATTTTGAATAATTTACGTAAAAAGGTACTCCTTTTTGACTTCTATCAAATAATGCATAGTTTTAGAGGTAAAATATTACATGCAAGTTGCTATGTAACGAAAAAAATTATCACATTTGATGGATTCAAAGTTTTGTGAAATTAATTTAAAAGGTTCGAATTTAGAATAAAAAGTTGAGAGAATAATTATACAAAATTACTGAGGCCCTTCTTATGGGGCCTCAGAATTGCATTCGTGCAGACGAAAAAATTTTCTTACCCCCAAACTTTTTTCCATGTTCCATGTTTCCGAAAATGCAAAAAAAAATTTTTCGTCTGGTAGTCTGTGTGTATGTATGTCGGCACGATAACTCTAGAACGAAAGTTCTTATTGACTTGCGGTTTTGATTTTCTTAAATAATTACTTCTAACTTAGAACCTTATTGATTTTTAGAATGTTCGGTTTATCCTAACTACTTTAATATCAATTTACTTAAAATCCGTCTATGCATTTCTTTTGTGACTAATTTTACGAATCATTCCTAACGTCTAACATTTCTAACATTCTTAACATTCCATACATTACAAACATTCTCCAACGACCTGTCAAACAACAGCTGTTGATTGTAAAGGTGAGATTTCTAAGGCGGGTTGCGACCTTCATAATTGCAACCATAGCCATTTTGGAGGCTATTTTATTCGAAATTTGTCGCCAAGCCTGCCAATTTATGAAAAATATATAAGCAGTTTCTTAAAAATGACTTTTTTATGGTAGTGCTAACTTAAGCTTACTACTATTTCGCACCTAGCCACAAAAACACCTTCATCAAATTTACTGGCTCTCTCTCTGTCGCAACCCCATAGAATAATTAATCGGCCATTTTATTTGAAAAAAATCAGAATAATGCTTGGCTGTGCCTGTCAAGTATCAAGATGTCAACTGTGATGTGTGAATGGCTCTTAAATGTCAAATTATTTAAAATGTTTGTATGCTTCTTTTGATATTTATTGCAAATAATTTGTAGTGTATCTCAATTCAGGCTTTCCATAAGTAAAGGTACAACAAGATAGATAATATAATGTTCTTATGCAAAGCACTTTTTTATTATATAAAAGAGAGGTAGGATATAATGCTGGTTTTTGTAGATAATTTTAATTATACGATTTAGGATTACATTAAGGGGTTGAAGTCCACATTATAGCATATCGCAAAATAGATTTAACCAGCGAATTGTAAATAATAATTAGTAAACTCCTAGTCATAAATTTCCTCAATTCATAAAATTTAAAAATGAATATTCTAACTTTGGTTGTTAATGACAGAATGTGATCAACCCATTTCAAATTTTGATCAATTATGATACCGAGGTATTTTGTGTGTTTCTCATTTTAATTATAAAGTTGTCATTTATTTGTATGTTAAAAAAAGGCCTCTGTAAATTATATTGCTGTCTATGGATCTACTTAAACACAAAAATAGTTTTGTGGCTATAAGTTGCTATAACCTATAGTCGCAAAACTATTAATAATTTAAACATAGTAAGTAGTATTAATATAACAAAGTATTTTTTTTAAATAAAGTACATGATATCAAAACATAAATAAATTTATAATAAATGCGGGTAAAACGAGGAGTAAAATAGCAATAAATTAAGGGAAATACTTAAAAAGGGCAGGATTAAAGAGTATTATCACAAGAAAGTATATCCGTTCTGTTTATTTATCAAGTATTGTTTGAGGTTACTTTTGAATACATTTATTGTTGTTTTTTGTTTTTAATTTATGTAGGCAGTGCATTAAATTTTTGCAAACCTTTAATAGAAATTGTATTTTGGGAACTTTTAGTGATGACTTGCCGTACATGAAAGTCAGATTCTTCTTGTATTATAGTTGTGATATTGCGAATTATATTGAATTTTTTCTAATAGATCTGATGCGATGGTACTATGTCATTTTTATTTTATAAATAAATAAATATCAGTCATGTACTGAACATTATTCTTAACTGAAAGCCAATTTATTTCTTTTAACATAGTTGCAATACTCATCCTTCTGTCCTTTATTAATATTATATAAATAGGCGAAGTAAGGAGCCCAAATATTTTATATGAGCAGGCTTAAGAGGTAAAGAGGCCAATTATTATTGGACAAGTATTACAAATTAAAAATTTAAAAAAACCGACTTTAAAAACGTGCAGATGCCATTACCACATCTTAACCAAATGTATATGGGACCACCCTGAGGTACCCCCTTACTAACAAAAAAAGAATTGTATAAATCGGACAAGGTGGTAAAGCATTATCGCTAAACAAACATAAAAAATGAAGAGTTTGAGGATTTTCTCATGGATCCAATTATTAGATTTTAATCAAATTTATATAGGACCACCCCTAAAGTAGCCCCTTTCTAAAAAAAAAGAATTATTGAAATCGGTCACCGTGTTAAAAAATTATCGCTGAATATACATAAAAAATGAAGAGTTTGAGGATTTTCTCATGGACCCAATTATTAGATTTTGACTAAATTTATATGGGACCACCCTTGAAATACCCCCTTTCTAACAAAAAAAGAATCAGTGAAATCGGACACCGTGTTAAAGAATAATCGCTGAACATACATACATACATACATACATACATAAAAAAAAAAAATAAAAAAATATCGCGACGAATTGATAACCTCCTCCTTTTTTGAAGTCGGTTAATAAATTGCTCGGACAAGTTTGTAAACCCTAATCAAAAGGCGATATAGAATGGTTTTAAAAATCAAGGCTTGTGAAAATCATCACATGGTTTAACCTAAGTAATGCCAATGCTTCACAAACCAAAAAATTCAACGTTATAATACTACTATCGGCTTTCGGTCTTTTGTTCCAAGTTAAATCATTTCTCGTTTTTTTTTTTTCGCTACGAGTTTACCCTTGTGGGCCTTAGTCTCGATAAGATGGGTACCACCATTTTAGCGTCTCTCGAATTTCATTTTAATTTTATCAGGGATGATCCTTTGAAACGCCATCCATTTGTCGACCTATGTTTATATTATGAAGTTTCTTCCTGATACCCCGTATGTACAGTGTGCCCCAAAAAGTTCTATAAAAATAAAAAAATGTAACTTACATTTCACAAAAAAATATTCTTGATAAAATGTTATTACGATTTAGCTATGGCCACGCAACTGGTCCATTTCAACCGATCCGCTTCTCGGGAAAGTAATGTCTAAAATCGCCCACACTTTCCTAATAATGACACATCTAGATTTGAATTATTTAAATCTGTTACTTTAATCTGTCTTGAGTGGCCACCGA